AAGTTGGTACTGATGACTCTTGCAGTGGTTCTGACTGAGACAGATAACTAGGATCTTGATTATGAGAGAGATCTTGAATGTTTTGTCCTTCACCAACATTAGAGGAATTTTTCCAATTGTTTAACAATTTTGTTGACATTATTGGAGTTTGTTGATGAATCTTGTGTGGAGTCAAGGTTGATGTTGAATCAGCAACAGGCTGATCACCCTCATACGGGATAAACTTTACATCAGCCAATATAACTATCTGTTTTCTTGCAGGAACAAAAATTCGATATTGATGATCAGTTTCAGTGTATCCAACAAATATACCTTTCTCAGCATTTGGTAGAAGTTTTGTTTTACTTGGTATATGAAATGGGGAACGTACACTTGCGTTTGACGGCTAAGATATGATGTTTTATTGAGAGTGGATTGTAGATGACTCTATGGATGTATATTCTAATTTACAGTGGGAAATACTCCCCTTTTATACCCCATGAACTCGCTTACCAGCGAATCATATGCCCATCATGCTTACTCATGCAGTGTGCCTTCCCTGAACAAATGCGCCAAACATGTCATGTGAGTTGTCCATGCCTGAGGTACCTTGATGACACACTCACCCTCCATGCGCTACCTGCCAGGGCTACCTTAGCTGAGCACAACAAGTTTGCATCCTGATGGTCGCTTAGCCATGGGAATATGCACATAACATTCTTGACCAAATGGATGAAGGTGTAGAATGGATGGTTTTCTCGCGTGGAAAGCTTCATATGGCATCTGTCCACTAACAGCACTATTTGCCTGACAATTTTTAGTGTAGATGAAGGATTTTGCTGCTTCAGCCCATAACTGCTTATCTTTAATTGATGCAAGAATTGCACGAACTCCTTTGATAACAGATCGATTTAGCCTTTCAGCTACTCCGTTTGATTCGGGAGAATAGGGAGGCGTCAGATGATGACTTATCCCCTTCTGAACCAGAAAATTGGAGAGCGTTGCATTGACATACTCACTGCTGTTGTCTGTTCTGAGTGACTTAACTTGACAATTGTTTTGCATTTCTAATGCCTTAACAAAATTGATAATAGCCTGAGCCGCCTCAGATTTATGTTTAAGGAATTGAATCATGGTACAGCGTGTTGCGTCATCAACAAAACTTATGTAGTATAGTGCATTGCCATACAACAGAACAGGAAACAGTCCGGCAAGATCTGAATGAATGTATTCTCCTTTCGATGTTGATTGTGCAGCTGATGAGGCTGGTTTGCTATGCACGGACTTAGATGACATGCAGGAATCACAGTGAAAGTTCTTTGGGCAATTTGGAATTACACCTGAGTTTTGGATGATCTTTTCTGTCTTGGTTATTGTCGAAGGAGATGCATGACTGAGGGCTTTATGCCAGAATTCATGGGTGGAGCAAGCTACTTCATTTTTACGTGCAACTTCCCTGATCACTGGCAAGGCACCCTTGTAATGAGCTTCCAACCAGATTTTATTATTCTTGTATATAATCATCACTTTGCCGTTGTCATGGAGTAAGTATCCCTTGGATCTAGCTTTCTTCCAAGAAAATAGCAGTAAAGATAAATTTGGCACATATAGTACATCATTAACCTTGAAAGTTGACACAATTCCATCTGATATCTCACAGTGTAACAACACACTTCCTTTCCCTTTGATTGACATTCTCTCATTTGAACTTGACATCACATAACCGGAGCAAGGCACGAGTTTTTCGAATTGTTCTGGGTAAGGACGCATGTGAGCAGTTGCACAAGTATCAAGGTAAAATAGATGACTAACCTGATCAATGCCCGTAACAGTTATATTTGCCTGTTGTAAGGTTATTTCAGATTGTGTCGAATTTGGTTGGGACAATTTCTCTTTAAGTCTAGGGCAAGAGTTATAAACATGCCCTTTATACTCGGTCGGAAAACGTTTCTTGCAGATGGAACATTCGTTCGACGAGGGGCGTTTGGAACGCTTGGATACCCTTCCAGGTTTCCTTGGCTTGAGAGAGTTATTATCTGCTTTGCCAACTTGCGTGATGAGGGCTATTGGAGGAGGTGCAGTGCGATCTAGATCAGGAAGACGTTGTTTAACCACGGCATAGGTACAATTGTCCTTAGTTGTCAAGTAATCAACCACATCCTTATGATGTTCACAGAACAAACTCAACAAGTAACTCCTCTTTACTTCATCATCCTCAAGAAAGTCGGCTAGCTTGTGGTGGTTCGAGTTAGAATATTCTCGGGCTAACAATGTTAACCAATCATACTCTGTCTCGAATTTGTCGATTACCGAACAGACAGTGCGACTTGGATTGTATGCATTTGCGAGGAGCGCAGCTGATCTAAGCTGGTGGATCAATGTAAAAGAGCTGTTCTGGTGGTACTGCTCTTTCAAATACTTCCACATCAAGTGAGGGTCTTTGAGTTTTAAGATCTTGCCAAGGATCTTTGAACCGACGACCTGAATATATATATTTACAGCAATACTCAAAAGCTGGCTGTATGCTCCTTTTTCTTCAGGCGAAGCGTCCTTGTCCGGCTTTGTGCTGTCGACGACAATCTCGTTGAGTCCCTGCCCTTCAAATACTGCAGTCATTGTAATGGCCCACAACTCATAGGTTTCAGGACCAGTGAGGTGGGTTACATTGGTTAATGACATTGCGCGCAAGTAGTTGGTTCCGAGTCTCGAAGCGAAGAAGTCGGTTTCCGAAGACGAGGATTCCACTTCTGTTGAGCGGTTAGAAGACTTCTTTCGAGATGAGGATGCTTAATAGTGATGGAATCTTTTTTCTTTTAGGGGCATCGGGTCATAACCTGTTGAGCGGATTGGTTTGCAAAAGCTTGTGGCTGTTAGGCACAGATTGTATCACTTGGTGAAGCGAGTGGGAAAGTAAAGGAGTCTGTAAATCTGTTGTGGAGAGTTGTTAATTACTCCCACTAGGACACAGAGTGCTATATAAACTATATTCTGTAATAATAAAATCTAGTGGTTGGTATTTACGTCAAAGCGCATTAATACTAACCTCACAATGAATGGGAGATTAGTGACATGTCTTCTACACATCCCTGTCTTTACCATAATTGGAAGCACCAATTTCAACAATATTCAGTTAGTGTAATGAACTGAGGATTTCTGAAGGAGAAAAACACTGCATATATATACAGGAATTAGTCCTACTGAGAAGAATTTAGAAATAAGCCAGGATCTGCGCCCATGTCCCAGTATGGCGACGTTACCATGGTGAAGGTATGTCTTGACCACCAGTAGACCCCCAAGCTAGCTGAGTGTAAGGAGGGCAAGACTGAACACCTGTACGCGGTGTCCTCTACGAACCTGGGAGTGAAATATTCTCCCAGAGCCAAGTTCAGTCAAATTTCGCAATATCAAAGAAGTTGGCCCACGAGGCAAAATTTCAAATTACTCCACCACGTCAATCTTTCATTCCCAAAGAGTCCGATTCTCGACTAAGCTTCACCAAGTCTACAAGTACGACATAGTACATCCTCACCCGAATGATCACACCTCTAGTCGACTTTCTCTGGCCTTAGTTGACCGCCAAATACACGCCCACGCCGATATTTATACCCGACGGAGGAAGCAAAGTGTGGCGCACAAATCTGGGAGATAGTTCTTTGGGATGGACGTGAGAGGGATCAGGACAAGTTTACAGGATGATGCAGAAGAGAGATACGTTTTCGACGGGCGTGGAATTTTGAATTTTGGCAAGAGTTTTACGAATCGAGCTTTGTGTGCGCCAAGACTTCGCTTGCGAGAGTGCAGCTGACACTATAAAAACAAGCAAACGATGGAAGGTGTTGTGGTCCGCCTCCTGGCGGTGTTCTCCGGTATAGTCTGAGTAGCCTGGGCACCTACTCCACTTGGGAAGGAGACATCTCAGATTACATTTCGTGCGGAGAAAAGTTGATGGATGACGGAGGCATGTCTGGATAACTCAGGGTTTTTGAGATATTCCCCTGAGTGGGTATTCACGGATGAGGGTTGACTTTGGGTGAAGAAGAAGCCGCCATAACTTCGCAATGGTACTTGCAAATGAAATCTGAGGCATGAGTGCTCCTCTTGTAAATTGAGTCATTTTTTCTGTACTTTTCTTTGATATTGTGTCATAGTTAGATAGCTGCATACGCAATTAAAATCTGATGCAAAAAAAAAAATAGCTGAGTGTAAGATAGAATCATGCATATACCATAATTTCCAACATATCCTGTGTTAAGCGCCAAGACTAATTAACATTACAGAAAATAGATGTGGCGCAGTATTAAATGATACGAATAACGGAAACGAAAACGAGATAGTACATGACTAGTGTAACAGATGTAGGACTGTTAGAATTACAACAGGTGCAGATTGAAGTCTTTCACAAAGATATGCTTGCCTTTTTTACATAAAAGTTTTGGAGGTATTTTAGGACCCTTAGTTTTATGCTACTATGTGATATGGGAGAAGGTTTTATACATTTGTAACAAATATTTTGCCTTTATTGCTCGGCATGCTGATGGAGGTTATATCTCTATCCGCCTCTACTGGGGTTTTTTCATTTCTCCACTTCGTAACTTCGAGGTGTTTACTTACGTATATGCATATCCTATCTATGCGGCCATCTGGGAAAATCAGATAGTAGACGGCGTTTTTATTTTTGATGTTCTCTATTTGATGAGTAGTTAACATGATCTTTATTTCCCCAAACTAGCCATAAAACTGCAATGTTATTCATTTATTCTTCAGAACTGAATCAACTACAGTGACATAATTTTTATAAAATAATCTCATCCGAAAATTCCCTGTGCAGCTCGAGAAAAAGTATGAATCCATGAGTAATAGGATTTCTAATTAATACTTGTCACAGTCTTTAAAATTATCCGGGCCCAGCTTTTCCTGCACTTTTACAAATTTCTTATCATTGTTAAAGACGGCGAAGAAAGGCGATTGTACTATGAATTTACTTAAAAGTTAGCTGCTGTGTAAATATAAACTGTTGAAGCTTACGCACCTTGATCTCCACCTAAATTGACATGAGTATGAAGACGCCAAAAAGATTGACCAAACCAATTTCTATAATTTTCCACGGGTAATGTTGCCCATGAATCTGAAACTAAACTTTTTAGTTCATTTATGAGGGTTTCTGATATGAATCCGTTTCTACAAAAATATCCGGCCTCAACGCCTGATAGCATCAAATTGCTGGAGATAAGAAGGAAGGTTGCCGGATTGAGAATCTTCATTGTATAGCTGGCTGGATGAAATATATTAGGTGTACTTTGAATCTTTATTCTTTTTTGAGTATTGATTTCGAGTTTCGAATTTTTGATAACTCCTAAGTATGAAGCAGCTTAACTTTGGTGATATGATGATGTAAAAGTTTCAATAAATAAAAATTCTGAATGTTTCTACCAATAGCTGATTGCCGAGACTTGAATGGATGGGGAGAAAGATTTTATTCCTTTGCTGTCTAGATATAGGTACAAAAGATATTCTTACACCGGAGAGAATAATACCCAAGGGGATGCAATCTTGAAAAAAACCCGACTTGATGCCAAGAGTCCGAATCATGAAAATAGAGTGAACAACGTGAAGATACAAGATATGGGGGACGCCCCTTGCCCAGCTGCCGAGCTGCTTGGCTTCTCTACTATTAGCCCAAGCCTAGCTCCCCTAATTTTCTTCGTCAGAACCGAAGTGTGTGTGGGTATTATCCATTGGTATGTAGGATGTTAAAGTCTCCCCACATTCCTCAGCCTGATATCATGATACTCCTTCAATATCTAGATGCTTCAAGCTTATGCCTGGCCTATACCAGGCTCTAGTACATGACATTATAAGCCTGTGATTAAACTTCAATTTTCAATTATCTTGATTTGGCGCCGTAAGAGCTCATGCAGTTAGTTTCGGAAGATATGTATTTTATGTGGGCTGACTTTTTTTGACTTTTTGAAAACTCTCAGTCAGATTTTAATTGCAGATTTCACTCGAAGTAATTAAAGATTGACTTGGCAGATATATGTGTACAGGGCTCATTGGTGGAGTAAATTTTAAGGGCGCACCTGACCTATCTCCTCGTTTTGGCCCAAAAGTTTGAGTAGAAAAGACAGTATATTCGGACATAAGGGCAGAGTAGGTAATTGCCGTCGATTTGCCAACAATTGCGCGCTTAAGATCATCTCTTAGTCTACTGCAGAAATAGTATATTTGGGCCCCAGACACGACTGAGCCAGATAGGAAAAGAAGCAAAACTATATTGGTAAAGTATTCTGCGTAGATTTATAGTGTGATATAGACATACATTTAGGCTAGGTTGTCAGGCCAGAGGCTGATATTCTTTGTCGTGATTAAGATAGAAACATAGCTGCTCGGTTGAAAGATAATAAGTGAGTTAGAATACTATAATTAGGTTTAGGCCCAAATACATAGATAATACAGAAGGCAATACTGTTGTAGTCTTGAAGCTAACATGCCCTAGTCAGCTGATCATGATATCTTAAGTTCTAAGGAATTGAACAATTTAAGGTTGAAGTGCCTGAGGAGCCTCCAACATCTTGAATCCTAATGACTGAAACTCAGTTTTAAAAAGATTTCTAATCTCCTCACATGGCAAAAATAGCAATATATACCATATAAATTAACATATAGGCAACGTATAGTTGGGGCCAATATATATCTCAGTATTGACAAGGAGAGTATAGCTGAGAAACTAGTCAGCTGAGAAGGGAGAGCCTGAGGGCTTTTGTTTCCTCAATTCATCAATTTGATTTTAATGGATCGGAATCTTGGCATAGAGTCAGATCTATCACAAAAGCATTTCAGCTAGATGTCGTAATCTTCAGCTAAAAGTTGTATTTTGCACCAAGATACAAATGATTTGTGAATAATATCTATGTTATAACCCTTGTAAACTCTTGAAACTATTCTTTGAAACAGAAATTCGGTAAATATACAAATTAAAATTATTTAAACTGTTGCTGGATCAATTGGTGTCAGTATACAGCAGAGCAAGTCCAGAATAAAATTAATTACTTAACAAAATGTAAAGACGGAAGGTCTCCTACATCTTGCTGTTTACATAAGGGAGTTTAATTAACGACGCTCATCATAACAGTCTCCGTTGCTTAGCAACCGTTTCCAATCTCCACCCTTGGTAGTCTCTATAGCTGACTAGACCCTAGATTCTATCTCTACCGTACTGGCGCAGACAGTCCACACACAAGAAAGTATTCCTGTAACATATACACTGATCATGATTGACTTGATCTCTTGATCTCTAAATATAGATATGCGCTAGGAATAGAATAACCTGCAGTTCTTATTACAGAATGCAAGCACTGACCGAAACAAACAACCCACGAACATATGGACAGTCCCTATTTTTGACCCGAGAAATTTCCCTGTCCAACTTCTTCGGTGGTTATTCTTAGCTGTCAACATATTTTTTGTCTAGGGAATTTTCTTTATTTCTTCTTTTCATGTAATCAATTGGCCCAGAAAGCTGGACAGATTGCTATGATCCATGTACATGTACTTGCTCTACACATTTATGTAAGTACTATTCTACCAATTGACAATGTCGTTATGCTTGTGCAATGGTTAGACATGGGTGGTTGGTCATGAGATTGTATCGAGCCAATGAGGAAGGCTGATCTCTGGGAGTTGTGATCAGGCACGGGATTGATTGTGCACGGATAATGGCAGTCCTCGGTAAAGTCCGACATGTAGATAGATAAGTGTTGTTGTTGTTGTTTTATTAAAATCCTAAGCTGAAGCTCCCTATGAGCACAGGATGTGACGGTCTTAAAGTGGCGTTTTATTCAAACTGAGCTCATAGCTAGATACAAATGAAAATCTTAAAGTAACGAGCAGAGACATGACTGAAAGCCTCCTATTTATTTACAAGACTATGATCTCGTTCCCTCATTTCATACCATTCTCAAAATAGATCATGACCTGTCCTCCGACAAACACCAGCATCTCCGTCTATTTTAATTCAGCTTCATTTTAATGTTAGCAATTTTAGTTATTAAAATAGTTATGATGCATGTGGCTTAGATGACTCACGACTGGTGTTCGAGTCGTCCTGTCTGCAATCTAAATTTGTCATTTAAGAATAGATTTGCATGAACTGGGCCAAGGCCCATACTTGGGTCTAATGAGTCATGGAGGGGTTCATGACATGTATGATGTTTAATATGGTTGGAAGAGTTCAAGCCTCATTTGTTAGGCAGCAGTCTAATGATAACCAAGTATGAGCCTGTGACATTATTTACCCAAAACAGTATCACGGAATATTCTAGTCTCCTCCATCTGGTAGTATAATCTAGAAACATTTTCTATACAGTGCTCCATTGTTCCTCTACTCATCATGGAGCCATCTGGAAAGTTCTTTCCTCATCCTCAGTGATTGTTACCTTTGTGCATTGTAATCCTAGCTTTCACCAGCAAAACAACCATGCCACTCAAGTAAACCTACACAGAGAAATTATACGGTCCATACGAGAAATAGATAGCTATATCATGGGTAGTATCCATTTTGAGAATGAATTATGGACTCGTGACGCAGCAACAACTTGGGCTCTCCTCAGAGCTCTCCAAAAAAGACTAGCGCCAACAGATTGTTTGAGAAAGCTAGAGGTTATCACTTTGTACAATGCTCTTAAAGTCTACAACAAAAACCAAAACATTGATCGATTCTTGTATGAATGGGAGCGGGTTTACGGTCTTGCCCTATTGATGAATCTTCCGGATGTCTTAGAAGTGTTGAAATATGATATATCTTGGAATGCCAAGAATAACTTATAAGTAAGTTCGGATAATTTGACTATCAAATTCCCCATTCTATATCACTGTTATCAATACATCCTTCACCGAAAGTTTAATGCGCATTAGCGTTTATTTCACACTAGCATTCCAGCAGATGACTATGTCTTAAATGCAGGTCATAGTTTTCTCGTATCTATTACTGATATACATGTATCTAGCTTTATATTCCTGGCCCATATATGTGTATGTACATAGATCTACATCTATATGGATCATAACTTACGATCCATGGAGATTGATAAATACTGGTCAAAAACCACAGTTGATAAGATATGCAAACACGCAACCTCACTCTTATCATCTCGGTTTTACTCTGAACCATACATCTCATTACAATTGTTTCCACTCGGATCTTCCTCTCACAACCTCATACAAGACTTACTGCATCAGTCTAATCACCGACACTGATTCCGCTACAACCTCATTCTTTGCTCAAGTTAATAACTTTAACAAGAAGAACGTCCTTTATATGACTTTGCCGTTGCGTTGGAAACTATTGATCAATCTTATGCTACTAACCTAGAGCTTAGAATAGATGAGAATGTAAGGCAGCAGTCATTAGAATTAGAATGGTTCCGGAAATTGTAAGAATGACATACCAAGTATGAGGATAAATTAGAGTTATGATGAGTTTGTTTAATGTACGACGAAGTCTACTGATGTTTAATGGATAGTTAATTGAAAAGAAATTGCTATGATTCTACATGTGTGGCGAGAAGTCCCTCTATATACATGAAAGCGGGGTTTTCTGCATACTAGTGTGAACTCCAACAGACTTCCATATCTAGCCCAAATGGGAAGGTTGATGGAGATTCTGAAGGCAATGTATGCTGTCAGGCATCTATTGGCTAATTACTATTCATGCCAGTGAGTGATGATATGGGTTAATCATATCTCATGGCGCCAGTGCATATTATTCTAATATGTACTATTTGTCTACTGCAGTCATGTTGCTGCCTTAATTACAACAATTAGATTAGTCAGTCAACCTTATTCAACTTGAAGATGTAATAGAAGAGTTCCGAAACTACTACAATAGACATCAAACATCTCGCCACAATACAATTCCAGCCTCTTTTGCCACTTCACACAATGGTGTGAGACCAGGCCAAAAACCATGTCTTTGTGGTAACATTCACCTTTTTAAGGAATGTTACTATCTAAATCCGGAACTAAGGCCTTCGGGCTGGATAGGAAGAGACTCTATTTACCATCAGATAAATAATGCATTGGCTGATCCACAAAGAATTAAACTCAAAATTTTAATAGAAAAAAATGTCAAAATATGACGGTAATTCAAAGCAAAGAGGAATAGCCGTTGAAAATATTGCACCCAAGAATGAGTATTTAGGGAAAACCATCATAAAAGATAATGATACGCAAGAGCTACAAAATTCATATTATGTTAGCTCTT